AGTCCCACCTAGTTTTGGTTTTCATACCAGATAAACCCCTCAGCCTCGCAGAACTTAAATTTCTCAGTGATAAAATAAGGAAACACAAACTTTTTGTGTTCTTTCCAGTTTTGACATCTCATTACTTCCACACCTTATGCTACCCTTTTCCAATCAGCACATTGTGGGCCACCATTCTAGAACCTGCACAAGGCAGCCAGGCATGTTTCCCCTGAGGCACTGGGGACTCAGTGGCTACCTGGTTTGTGGTTTTAAATCTTTTATCCCCTAGGATTTTAGACCCAAATACTTGTATATTACTGTTCTTATCTCAGATATCATGTTGACTAAACTCATGATTTTTGGTGTCAAAAAGCCAGGGATCAAATCCCAGCTCTGTCACCTACTAGCTCTGTGACCTTGAATAAGTTGTTTCAGCTCTTTGAGTTTCAGTTTATTCTGTGCAAAATAAGGACAGTAACAGATGCCTCATGGAATTTTTGTCAGTATTAGAATAAGATAACATACAGCCAGGCTTGGAGCTAAAGCTCTCTATAGGGTAGGGGTTTTTAACGAACAGTCTGAGCAGAATGCTGAAAAAGCTTCAGATTGCTAAAGACCCTTGTCTGCTTCATTACTAACTAGCCATCTGACCTTGAGCAAGTCACTTGGAATTTCCAAGCTTCATTTTCCTCATCAATAGATTGGGGATTATAATCACTCTCTTGATGTATGTTGTAAAGATTAAATGATATAATTGACTGACAAACAGGATTTCACGGCCTACATGTTATTATCGGCTCAGCCCAGCACGCACTGAGCAAACTTAGTGAATAACAAGACCTGCTTTTTTCAGTGTTTTGTGTTATTCGAATATCTGTAAGTATATTGGTTTGCTAGGGATGCCATAACAAAACGCCATAGACTGGGTGGCTTATGCAACAGAGAGTTATTTTCTCATGGTTCTGGAGATGTGAAGTCTGACCAAGGAGCTGGCAGAGTTGGTTTTTCCTTAGATCTCATCCAGAGGCTTGTAGATGGCTGCCTTATTGCTGTATTTTTACATGGTCTTTCTCTCCCCCACCATAAAGACACAAACTGTATAATATTAAGGTCCCACCCTTATAACCTCATTTAGCTTTAATTACCTCCTTAAAGGCCACACTTTCAAATATAATCATATTGGGGGTTAGGTCTCCAACATATAATTATATGGAGGCGCAATTCAACCCATAGCAGGGCCAGAAATCAGACTGCAGGAGATTAAGGAAAGAGCAGGAGGAAGGAAATGAACCCAGTGGATAAAGTCAACTTTTCTGAGATATTTGACATTGCAGGAGAGGAGTGAGGTTGTCATTATCTTTGTCATTGTTGAGAGAGCATGTGGCCAAGTAGAAAGAACATAAGCTTTCTCATTAAAAACTTGGGAGTAAATCTTGTCTCTTTTTTTTCTCCCATGTGACACCTGGACACTCAGTTGTTTTTTGTTTTTTGTTTTTTTTAATCTCTATGAGACTCAGTGTCCCCATATGTAAAGAATAGACAAGTACAGCTCATCTTGAGTTTACTGCAAGGACTAGGATAATATAATTAAATCCTGTCCCCTGGCATATAATAGGAGCTCAATAAATGTTAAGCACCATATTTAAAATCTCCCCACAGTCACGCTTTTCAGTGATGGCTGAGTCTCCTCACGTATTTCACAGCAGAATCGTGCTGTGCTCTTCCCAGAGTTTGCCTCTGGGAATCAGAGTTTTGATTGAGTTAGGCGGTGTCATTTTTTAAATTTATCATAAGCCGGTGATTGCTGATGATTTCAGGTGTGTTTTTAGAGCCTGTCAGCCTCCTAGAAATAGAAACAGCCCTTTGGCAGGCAGGAGTCATTAAGAAGTAAGGTACCAGTCAGCTGGGAAAACAAGAGAGCTTGCAGGCGGGCACTTCAAGGGTGGTGCTTTGAATATTGCATGTGATGTTTTGAATATTGCATGTGCTGCTCATCTTATCACATACACTTAACTCAATTACACTGATCCTCCGGCCCAGGGTCTTTTGTCTCAGTCTCAGCATGTGCAAGTCTGCGACAGCTAGGGAAGAAACTGTGTTGGGCATGTGGTTCAAACTGCTGTGTGGTTACAAAGGCCAATAAGTTAATATGCTGTTTTGTTTCTTGCCAGTGGAAGGGTCACTAGGTCTAGAGGAGGTCATGCTATGATTGAAACACTGTTCGGAAAATCTGATTAAATTTCCCTCTACTTTAGCCTCTGCTGTGTTTCTCAGAATAATGCACAGTCAACATAATGATTCCAAAGAAGGCGTTTAAGGTCCACCAGTGGTCCACAAACCTCAGTTTGGGAAATAATTTTCTAGAGGGCAGCGGAGGTTCACGGGGCTCCACAGGAATGGAAACTCTAGCAGCAGCAGCATTTGTTAATTGACTCATTCATTCATTCATTCATTTACCATGTGATTCTTTAGTCACAATGGGATATGAAACTCTATGTCAAGTCCAGGGGATATTCAGGGAACTCATAGCATAAAAGACAGGCATGAAGAGATCACAGTGTTTTGCTTTACATGCTCCTATCTGAGAGGGAGGTAGGGTGCAAGAACTCTGACCAGGGAGCCGTCGGTCCACATGGGGGAGAAACCCAGGGAGGCTTTAGAGAGGAGGCAGTAATATTGGAATAGGATCATAAAAGGTAAATACATTTTACAAGGTAGAATAAGGGGAAAGGAACATTTGAAGCTGAGGAAATTATACTGTAAATGATTCAAAAGTAGGTTACATCAGGACATTTTTCAAGGAATCAGAGTCTTTCTATTTGTTATTGTATGTTTATATTAGATCTGTTCTCTGGCATTTCTGCATTGACAACTACAATAACTACGACACAGCCCGATGGATGAACAGCAATTATAGGGAGCACCGTCTTCCTTCGTTCTGTCTTGCTCAGGACCCTTCTAGTAGAATCAACTTATTCCCTCCAATGAAGCAAAGAGAAAGTTGAAGGAGCCCCATTTTGGATTTTTTTATTTTCCTCATAAAGCCTAACCTGAGGTCAAGTTGTTAAAGCCTAGCTGCCTTTTACTGGCTACTTTATTTCTTTTCACATCCTTCAGATGCACACCCAAAAAATTCTCATCAATTTTATCCTTGTCAGCTCAGCGTTTATTCTTGGTCTTTCCATCTTTTCATGTCCCTTTTATTATTCTTACCCATCAATCACTATTTCTGCAGTTCTTCCAGATTACTGTTGCAAAATAAATTATTTTGATATAAAAAGTACAAAAGACTTCTATTGCTTCTACTTCCTCTTCCTTACTTTGACAAGCACAACCATTCCAAGTGCCTGTTTCTTTACCATTATTAGTCTTTCGTAAACTCCTTGAGGGCAGAGATGAGGAGGACATGCTGAGACTAGACTTCTGCTACCCTTTTTCCCTGCTAAGTAAGAGCTCTGGCCCCTCACTGCCCTTGGTGAGACAGGGCAGACTGTGTAGGTGCAGATGCTAGTGAGACACAGCATTACCAAGTACCGAAAATGAGGTGAGTTTTGTGGTCAAAAGTGACTATATTTCCAACTGAGGTATGAAACATGGAACTGGGAGTGCCAGTGGTCCTGGGTCAGAGCTGATGGGAAGAAGCCACTCTCCTGAGCCGCAGCCCCCTGAGTGGGGAGTCTACAGCCCAGAGAAAGGAATGTAATGGAAGGAAGCCCCGGCCACAGTCCTGGGGCCTGGATGCTTCTGCCCCTGACGCGTCCCGTAGCTGAGGTTTGGACTGATCTATGGCAGGAAAAACTCCTTCAGCCTGCTGTGGGCCCCACTGCAAAGAAGCTGGACCTAATCAAGGATGCTGTGCTCTGAGACCCAACTACCCAGATCCCGATATATCCCCCACCTCCCCATGGGTGTTCTACATGCCCCTGGAGCAAATATGCAAGTGTTACTTGTGGGGAGGAAAGGTTCTATGAACAAATGTCCTTTGGAGTTAATTGGGTTAAACAAAGCAAAACAAAATTCTTTGCTGCAAGTTCTTTCAGAACTTTATATTCCTGTGTTTTGCTCTCCAACTCTATTAACATTTGCATTTCCCAAATCCATATGGACTGAAAATTATTTTGCATAGAGAGTCTTAGAGAAATGATAGTATAAATATAGTTCACAAGGCAAAGTGCAATGTTTCATAATTTTTCTTTAGCTCTGGATTTCCCTGGCTGCAAAGAGGGTCTGGCCAGAAGTTCCCCTAGGCTGTGGCCCACCCGGGCCTGTGCAAACCCATGAAGACTGAGTGTATGCCAGTCAAACTGGCAACTGATTTTGATTACATTATTTGCAACCCCAGGTGAAATACACTATTTCAGAAGAATCCCTGTTCAGTATAAACAAAGTCCTGTCTCAGAGATGCATGATACAAAGGCGATGTTGATTGCTATTAACCTAAAATTCTATTTTTATAATTAGTACTTGGTATATATACACAAATCCAAGGTTTTAAGTTTTCCATGATTTTTTTCACTTTTCATACTGTACTGGAAAATGTTAATGTTATAATACCTAATAACTAGAAAATATTAAAAATATTATGTAGCCTTGGCTGGGGCTCAGTGGATTGAGTGCTGGCCTGAGAACCAAAAGGACTTCAATTCAATTCCCAGTCAGGGCGCATGCCTGGGTTGCAGGCCAGGTCCCCAGGTGGGGTGTGCAGAAGGTAACCAATCGATGCATCTGTCGCCCACTGATGTTTCTCTCCCTCTCTTTTTCCCTCCCTTCCCCTCTCTCTAAAAATAAGTAAATGAAATCTTTTAAAAAATGAATTGTTTAAAAAATAAAAATATTATGTAGAATTAACCTGGCTTAACACTGTAAACTCTGGGAAGTATAAATATTGATTGGCAGTGTGAGACTCATTCCTCTGGAAAAACGATAGACACCCAATGAACATTTCTCTCTGCTTACCTGCGGGTAAGCATGGGTGCGGCCTGACTGTTCCTGAGACTCTGCTTGCTTTTCCTCCACAGACAGCGTGGAAGATGAGCTGGAGATGGCCACCGTCAGGCATCGGCCTGAGGCTCTCGAGCTTCTGGAAGCCCAGAGCAAATTCACCAAGAAGGAGCTGCAGATTCTTTACAGAGGATTTAAGAATGTAAGAACTTTCTTTTTGACTTTACCTTCACCTAGTTCTCAGAGGAGCATTGAGAAGGGAGAGGGAAAGAGGAAAACACCCAGTCTGTGAGAGCCCCATTGTATGTGCCTTTCACACCAGTCTTTCCTAGATGAGAATATTGTCGATAACTACGTGGACTTTGACTCACTGTGGCACACCAACGCTCAGCCATTGTAGCTACACATTGAACGAGGATGAGTAAAGGAGAATGGCTTATTCAATTCAATTCTTAGTTGGGATTTTTTTCTTTTTCAACTATAATTTCAGTAAGCTCCAATAGTCCTAAGTTGACTTGAAACTTGCCTGCAAACTGGGGCTTGTCAAGGAGGTCCATTCCAAACACTGGAGAAAATCATGATAAGTTTGATAGTCTCTAAAAGACCATGCTGCAATCGCTGCAGACCACAGGTGTCTGTAGGTGGTCCCTGTATCCAGTTATCTGTGATCTGGGCCTGACTCTGATACTCCTTCCACAGTGAATCATCTTCAAAAGGAATGATAGTCCATGCACACCAGAGGGTGAGGGTGGGAGACAGTGAGTGGTTGGGACCACTGGTCAGACATGTACTCTTATTGAATCATTGGTATGTGCTCAGTATTAAGCTAGATATTGCAGGTTGTTTAAAAGCTAGAGAAGATATGCTTCTGTCCTCAAAGAGATTATGGCCTGAATATAAAGAGAGAAGACTTGCTGTTGTGAATCTATTTTAAAGCAATTCATCTGTGAGAGTATCAATGGTTATAGCCGTGTATTGAATGGCGTGCACAGCCCAAGGTGTATTGTGTTCTTACACATCTATAAGCTATGGCAGCTACAGGAGCCCCTTGAGATCCAAATGAAATTGCTTTGATTCCTCCCCAAACCCACTCTCAAAGAGACTCAATTTCTATAACCCATAGAAATCTATAGTGTCCAAAGATTTCTACTAATTTCAGCCTCTTCAGGTCTGACCACTTCAAATAGTACCTCCCTCCCACCTCATCCAGGCTAGATGAGAAACTGCCCCTGCTTTGATATCCATAAAAATTTTACTCAGAGAATCGGAAACTCTAGTTGAGCTTTCAAGCTATATTTATAGGGGTCCATCATGCATATTGCACACAACCTTCCACCACCTCTCTGACTCCATGGGGCCTCCCTCTATCCCATTTCTGCTCCTACCACTCTCCCTATCAGGGCTTTCTAAATTTTTCTCCCCCCATCACTCCTCCAAAACCTGGTTCTCTGCTGTCACCCAGGCCTTTGTTGGGGCCCACAAGGTGGGAAGGAGGGAGATGTAAAGGAGATGGGTGCTCACTACACAGACTCCAAACTCTCATTAAAAGGGATTTTGATATGTAATGTATCTAGATGACACAAATCAATAAGCATGCGTAAAAAGAAAGGGGTGTTAGAGAATTATTAGTTGCACCCATGCTGCCAGTTTGCAGATTTCAGAGTGAGCGAGATTACAAGAAAACCCCTGGCAGCAGCAAGCGACTGAGTGGCAAGGATGGGAAAGGAGAGGAGGTGAGGATGCCCAAGTCTTGGCCCAAAGGAAATGCTTAGGAAAGGCTTACATAGCAGAATAGGACTTCAAATGCATTCTTCTGAACATCTACACATCTTGGCTCTAATGCAAAGATCTTGTAATAGGCAAGCATTTCTTTTTAACATTGGATTGTGTATCAGATACAAAGTGGTTGTTCAGTGAAGGAGAATGCAATGCAGCCTCCCAGCATCCCTGCGTTCCTGGACAGCTGACCTGCATTATCACTCCCCTTTCACCCCTGAAGGCCTCTCCAGGTCCCGTGCCTTTCACCCCGTTTGTTGCAAACTGGAACCGTGATTACTGCCAGCGCTGGCCTCAGGGGCCAGCATCTCTGCACCGTGGCTTATCCAGGTGGCACTTCACAAAATGGTGCCCCGGATCCCAAGTCTGCACTCATTGATTTCTTTTTTCTTTTGCCTGCTTGTTCTGTTTCCTTTTTTCCCCCTTCCCTCTTTTTTCCCCAACTTTTCTTTCCCCCTTTCCTACCCTTCCAATCTCTCCTCTTTCCTCATTTCTCCATTCTCTCCCTCTGTTTTTTTTTTCTTTTAGTAAAATCTTCACATGAGGGTATGTTTCTTGATTTTTAGAGAGCAAGGAAGGGAGAAAAAGAGAGAGAGAGAGAAACATTAATGTGAGAGAAAAATATCAATCAGTTGCCTCCCCTACACGCCTTAACCAAAGATCAAACCCACAGCTGAGGTACATGCCCTGACTGGGAATCGAACTCACAGTTTTCTGGTGTGCAGGACAACACTCCAACCAACTGAGCCACCCCACCAGGGCTCTCCCTCCCTTATTTCCCTTTCTTTACCTTTTTATCTTATCAATCCCTGTCCCCTTTCTTTTACTCTTTCCCTTCCTTTCCCTCTTTCTCTATTTTTTCTCTTCTCTCTCTTCATTGTTTTCTCTGCCCTGCCCACCCTGCCTCCTGAGATAAATTTCCATCAGACCTTTACATGCCGAAAGCATATTTTAGATACTCTTTCGAAGCAAGGACTTCACAGTTTGCTCAGAAAATATTACTTGGTTCTCGGAGAAGTCAAACAAGACTGGTATCGCAAGACAAGCCCTGCGGCAGGCCAGCAGTGCTCGGGTTTGACGGGGCCGCAGCCCGGCCCAGCGTGGCATCCGAGAATGCAAACCAACTACCCTCGGTTTCCTGTGCACCAATTATCTCAGGCTCTTAGGTTCAAAAAATCATTTCCCTGGAACCAATTAGGATATTTATTTTTAGTGAAACCCTTTAAAACTCCCTCTATTTTGATTAAAAGGATAAACTATTCATCAGCATCTTAAAATAGTCACACAGAAATGGCTTAACATGGCAAGGCACCCTGCGAGTAAAGGCCACCAGGGCCCTCCCAACTTTTTCCAGTGCTGTGTCTATGACAGCACTTCTTCATGTCCAACATAGTTATTAATATCAACGGGGTGGGGGAGAAAAGGGAGATAGTGAGAGAGAATTTCTCAGCCCCTTGCCCCATCTTACCCAGTGAATCACCCCCCCACACACACACACATTTTTATCTCTCTTACTGCATGCTGAACTGAGTCTCCAAAAGTAAGCAGCTGATTAAAAAACAGAGAATATAATACAATTTTTCTCAACCATCAGTGTGCCTTGGAATTATCTGATGCACTTGTTAAAACACAGACTTTTGCCCCAACCCAAATGATTATGATTTAGTAGGTCTGAGGCCGGGGCAGAGAATCTGTCCCTTTTGTAAGTTCTCAGGCGATGCTGATATGCCGCTCTGGGGGTCGCACGTGGAGGGCCGCTGTGCGGTGCCCACCTCACGAGCTGTGCGGTCACTCAGACTCAGACACACATTGTCTGAGCAGCCCCCTCTGCGTCAGTGGCCTCTACACATTTGGACTGTGATATATACGTTGCACAGGTTTGGGTTTATTTGTTTTGTTTAATTTTTGGTTTTGAGATAATAAGACCACAAACATAAAGTTACACAAAAAAGAGTTAATGACAATGGGGCCCCAAATAGGCAAGCCCATTTTTGTGTTCCATCAAAGCGGGGCATTTATGGCTGACATACTTCCCAGGTATTGTTCTGGGTCTGGAGCTACTGCATATGAGAAAGGATGTGGAAACATACAAGGTATCATCTACATATCAGCAGTCACACACTTAACTCCATGTTGCAACCATCTGGGGAGCTGTAGAAATTACAAATAGTTGGGTATCATGTTTGGTGATTCTGATGTAATTGCTCTGAGAAGAACCTTGAGCAACAGGATTTATAAAGCTCTCCAGGCAATTAGAATGTGCGTCGCAGGCTGAGAACCATTGAACTGGATATATTAGATCGTAGGTGTCAGGTGAGTCCATCACACACAGACACACAAAATGGACCTAATAATGGCAAGCCTTCTCATGGCAAGCACCAAAGGTTAGGCTGGCTATGTTGGAGCCTTACGAAGTCCTTTGTGGGGGAGATATTTGTGTGTGTGTTGTGGGGAGTGTAAGGAGTGGGAGTAACAGGTCTTACCTCTAGGGATTCTGATTCCATTAAATCTGGGGTGATGCTCAAGAGTCCTTTTGTTTTTTAACTTTTTAATTAAAAAAATTAATTCTCACTTTCATAGATAGCTAATAGAAGGCCACATTTTAGAACCACTGACCTGGAAGGTCACCCAGGTATCTGCACACATGATTCATAAACTCCTTTTACTGCTCCGTTTCAAAATCAAGCATAACTTCAGTTCAGTTTTAGGTGATCATGAATGGTCTACTAGGGTATTGAATTTTAACACGGCCATGCATCTTTACAGTTGTGGGTATGCAAACCCAGAGTTTATTCTTGCATTATTGTATATTGATTATTGTATTATTTTCCCTATGAACACCTGTAAACCAGCCTCTGCTCCACGCTGAGGCTAGGCCTGTATGCTTTGGACTCCTGTCTCCTCGCTGTCCCAGATCTTTGCCTGCTGACCTTTCCTTCACTACTTTGAATTATATTAGGTTAAAGTAGCCACTAGATTCAAATATATATTTTAATGCATCCCTTTAATGCTTGTTAATGTTGGCCTAAAAATGATTAAAAATTAATTCCTTTCTAAATTCTTCTAGCTGGGCTAATAGTCAAACGAACAGAGACAGATTAATAAGAGGAGCATCAGACTTTAATACATGTACATGGAGAAGTCACATAAGCATGCAATAGTCCAAAGAGAGTGAGACAACACTGGGTGTATATGTTTTAGGCAAAGGAGAAGAAGTCTTAGATTTCCAGAAGCGCGAATGGGCGATTGTGTGAATGTGCGAGGAAGAACAGAACATCCATGGTAGGAAAATCTTTTCCGGGAAATAAGAGAAACACTGGGACACAGGGGTTAGCTAGCTAACAGGTCTCTGCCAAAGGGCCTTCTATTTACCATACTTCAGTCAAATAAGACAAAGGCAGCATCCCCAAATTCCCTGCCTGGAGC